CGGGCCGCTCTTGGGAAGATGCCCCGGCCGGAGCTACCCCTGCCGGAGGGCTGGGAGGAGGCGCGCGACTTCGACGGCAAGGTCTACTACATAGACCACACGAGCCGCACCACCAGCTGGATAGACCCGCGGGACAGGTAGGACCCCCGAGGCCCCCGGCCTCCTTCTGCCCCAGGGGCCACTAGCCGGGACTGGCCCGCAGGGCGGGGGGCGGCTCTGCCAGCCTCCTGAGCTTCCGTTGCCCCCACTCGCGTTCCCCTTCTGGAGCGCCGCGCCTGCCCCTGCGGGCTGCTGGAAGGAGGGGACAGCCAGGGAGTTGGCCCGTGCTGCCCCCTCCGCCATCCCTGGGTGGAGGACTTAGGCCCCAGTCTGCACCTGCCCAGAGTTTTGACCTCGAGCTCGAGCTCGGCCCCCGCCCCCTTTAGGGGGAGAAGTCCGGCGGGGGCGGGGGGAGCGACCCAGCCGGGGGATGCTGGGGCTTCCCGGGGAGGCTTTCCCCAGCGTGGGGAGGAGAGCGGGAGGGGGATGGGGAAGCGGGTGGTGGGCCTCGGGATCCAGTGGAGACGGCCGGAGGAAGGGCAGGCGCTCCGCGCAGGGAAGGCGGCCTGGAGTGTGATTTTTGACAGGTGCCTCCGAGGCTCTGAAAAGAGCACCGGAGCCTCCGGGGGCCTGGAGGCCTGGAGTGGGAAGGAAAGGAAGGAGCGGGGAAGGGCTGATCGGGGAGACTGGTTCTCCAGGAATCCCGAGCAACTTGGAAGCTTGTTGGCATGTAGATGGAGGTGAGAGGCCTCCGGCAAAGCCCTGCCGTCGCCTCTTCCTCCTGCCTTTCTTCCTCTGGGGACCGTGCTCCTCAGCCCTGCACCTGCGCGTCCTGACCTTGGGTGCCGCCAGCCGGCTGCAGCACGGGATATTTATTTATTTATTTATTTATTGCTGAGGCAGGTGGAGTCCAGGATGCTTGGGGTGGCCCTTAGCCTTCAGACTTTCTCCCCGGTTTCCACTGGTTGGCATTTCTTTGCACACATGCATCCCCTCCCCGTGTATGTGGTGGCGGGAGGGGAGGACCACCCTCTGCTGACTGTTCAAAGTGTCTCAGGAATGTGGGATTTTCACCTGGTTACTGTGACCTTGGGCATCAGGTGCCTGTACTGCAATGGAGGTGGATGTTTTGGACCCTTCATCTTGCTGGGATGGGTGTGTAGCAAGGTGAGGGTTAACAAAAAGAAAAAGCATTAGGAAGGTTAGAGTTCAGACTCCCAGTAGTATCTCTGAGCATGTAAGTTCATTCATTCATTCAACATTTACTGGATTGCTCTATGCTCAGTACCACACTGAATGTCTCCTTACGGTCATGTGGAAGAGATTTTTTTAATGCTGGAGAGCATTCCTTGGGCAACCTGCTTTAACCTCTGAGTCTCATTTTCCCTATTTGTCAGACTAGTGATTTGCTAGGAAGGGAAACAGTAATAATGGAACTCTTAAAAGTTGGAAACGGCATAGGGATCAGAGTCTGACTTCCATTTTCAGACATAGAAAATTTGAGGCCCAGAGGTGTGATTTGCTTGTTTTGGTGTTTCCACTACTTTCATAAGCCAAGTTCTTTACCAGCTCAGGACTTTCAACCTCCAAATATGTTCTGACTCACTTTCCTTCTCACCCCCTTAGGGACAGTTGTGTTGGTGAACTAGGCAGCCCCTTGTCCTGTTCTAGAAAACATACAAGTTCTAGCTTCTGTGCCCTCCTCCAGTTTGGGTCCCAGCAGCTTACTGTGCAGGTGTGGGAGGTGGACAGCCCCACACCCAGCACTGCTAACTCACTCAGGGCCACGAATCTACGGACATTTCTGGCTCTGAGAGGACAATGCAGCTGTAGGAAGCTTCTCAAACAACAGTAATTTTTTTACCCTTGGAAGAGGGCAAGCAGTATTGCTTCTGCAAAAACCTGACTTGGTTAGAGCATAAATTCCCAAATTTTAGTATTATGTGGACCATCTTCACGATACTGTGCTATGTCCACCTGTGCTATTGCTTACTTAATACTTGATTTTAAATCAGCTCAATTTGAAAAATGTTAAACCACTTTCACAGTGGGAAACTAAGAAGATCTATTGCTGTAAATAGAAAGGATCCTTAAAAATACAGTGGAGGAAAAACAAAACCCACTGCCATTATATTCTAGCCCAATACCGTGGCCTGCCCACCGGCCCAGCCACAGGCCTGTACAGCCTTTGCTTTTAGGCAGATTGGCAAGCACTAGAGAGAATTAAAAACGTACTGGTGCTTAATGGAGCCACTCGCTTCTTCACCTGGCAAGTTATTGGCTTTGTAACTCCGGTCTTGCACCTGCACGGGGCTGGTGCGGGCCCCTGAGCTTGGGGTGCTGAGGGGTTCTGAGTGCAACCCTGGGGTCCCGTTGCTGCCAACTTTGGAAGTTTGGGGAGAGGGCTGAGCAGAGGGCATCTGTTCCAGGCTCCGGAATTTCCTCCCTGCACACGGGGTAGGGGTTTCTGCCTTCTGGGCCTGCCTGTGTGACCTCAGGCAAATAGCTTGAGCTCTTGGGTGCAGGTGCTTCGCTGGTGAGAGAACAGGGTTGATGGTGATCTCTAAGGACCCTGCCGGCTCTGAGTACTTGGCCTCTCCTTACCCCTCCTGACTCCAGGGAAGAATTTGGGGGTGAGGGGTAGGTGGGAGGGGAGGGTAAGGGGGCTGTGAAGAAGAGGAAAAAAATTAAGCTAGAAAGAGCTAGCCTTCTTTGGGGTGCTGGGGTGAGGGAGATAAATTCTGCCAAGGTGGTTACATCTCTGCTGCTGGTTAATGCTGGGAAACAAAAAAAATCACATAAAAAATTCTTTTCCTTATGTGTGACTGTTTGCATTTGTCTGGGCTTTTTCCTTACCTGAATCAAGGAGATGCCCACCCACTCCCCTGAATTTAAAAGAAGTCAGTGCAATGGTCCTTCAGTCAGAAAAGGGATTTCTTAGCCACCGAGAACAAAATAGCGTCTCGGGTTACCGACCCTGAAGAATGTCCTGGCACATTCCTCCCTGTGGCTGAGCTGTTTTGTGTGTGCTGTCCGGCCCGGAGGCTGCTGGGGGTAGGGAATCCAGTTTTCAGCTTTCCCTTTCACCAGGGGGTTGGAAGAGCAGCCAGGCAGCTGGCCGTGCCAACTCTGTCCCCTTCTCACCCAGGGGAAGACTGGGAGGCCCAAATTCCTGAGGACGGTTGTCCCAACAACCGGAGAGGGTCCAGTGGGCAGCTTGGGCCCTGCCTACTGGGCCAAAGGCTCCAGCAGCACCACGGGCTCTTCCTGAGGCCTGGCCGCTGGGAAGGGGATGGTTCCCCAGGGAAGGCGGTGCAGCCCGGTGGAGTGGTCTTCCTTTAGGAGAATAACTCTGGGTGCTTCTGGGAGCTCCCAGCAAAGGGCCAACGTGGCGGGCATCTGACTTAGTGGTATGCCAAAACAAATACACCGATTGTTCTCGGAGGAGGAATGGGTTGTTGGAACTGGTCCTGCCACAGAAGGTTCCGGAAGCCCAATTCCTGCTTATTTTGTAGTTTGTGGCCAGACCTTCTTCCAGGAGCCACCTGCAAACTCTGGACACAGTTTTGGGGTCTGTGTGACAAATACCTGAGAACTTGAGCTAACCCTGTTATTTCAGAAATCATGAATATTGTAGGAAGTTGGCTCTACAGCCTTGGAAAGATCTTAACCTCCGCTGGTCACAGACCCTTGTGAGAAGCTGGCAAAGGTTAAGGATGCTCCCTAAAGAAAAGTGTGAACAGGGTTTTGGGCACATAATTTCAGAGGGCTCGTGGACCACAGGTTCATAAATTCCTGCCATGGGTTAACTTAGAAACCTCCCGTCACTGCCTGTGTCCCCTCCTGTCTGGCTATGTAGGAAATAATGATTATTTACTGCATCCAGGTCGTCTGTTGAGAGCTTTGCATGGGATTTCTTTTAATCCTACCAACCCTGGGAATAGGTAGTTATCTACCTGAGGAACCTGAGTCTCAGAGGGGCTGAGTTTGGTGAAGCCACTGAGATGAGAATGACAGGCACTCCTACTCACGAACCCACATTTCTGATCACTGCAGAAATCAGTGATCAGCTGAATCCAGACTTCTGCTCCGTTGCCTAAGGAATTTGGTTTTGGGTAATGGAGTGGGGACAGGCATGATTTCTCTTCCCTGCAACCATTCTGGTGTGACCAGACCACAGTTAAGCAGAGAGCAAATGTGGATAATGGACAGAGGGCGAGCCTTTGAGCCCTGGCATCTTGGATCTGCTGTGTGCTACCTGAGTGAGCTTGGCACGTTAAATAGGCTCTCTGAGCCTTGGTTGGTCTTCTGTAGGATGGGGAGATGCACATAAGTCAGCAAGGGCAGTTCCAAGCATGAAATAAGCTAAGTCAGGCAGGGCAGCTAGCACAGAGCCTGACACACAGGAGACACTTCCCGATGCCACTGGCTCTTTTAGCTTTTACTAGGAGGACCTGCAAAACACTTAAGTCAAACGGAGGCTGAGTCTCTGCCTAGCTCTGTGGCAGTTGGCAGACAGGATGGACCTCTCTGGCCATGTAATCCAGCATTCTTATTTCACTGATGAAACACTCAGACGCAAGTGACTTGCCCAAGGTCACACAACAGACAAATGTCAACCTCGAGTCTCTAGTACAGGTCTCCTTTCCTCTTTCTCTTACAAAAACTTTTCCCAAGAAATCAGATCTAGTTCCTCCTTGTCTGTCGTAATAATTTGGGAATCTGTTACGCTTGTGGCTGAGTTCTTTAGAACCTTTTTTTACTGTGCAGACCGGCAAGTTCTTTCATAGTGTCACTGTCATGGGTGATTGTGTCATAGTAATTTGTTATTTGTCGAACAGTTAAAGTACCAGCAATTTCAAGTGAGTTACTATTTTTATAATCAGTTCATCTTGTTTAAGGTTATTGTCAGACTAATGTCACTTTTCCCCAATTTTGTAAGCAGGAATTATCACTAGCCTGCCATGAGACTTACCCAAAGCCTCTATTTAGCGTGCTTCTCTTTATGATCCCCCAGTACCTATAGATGTGCCTTCACATGTTATTAGAGGACTTCCCTTTCCTTCTCACGGTAGGCTACAATGCATGGGAATATCTT